TGAGATATCAAAAAAGTACTCCAGAGTGTTGTTCAGCATGGGGGTGAGTAGAAAATGAAGGCTAATCATGTTTTGGGTGTACTAACAGAACTGTATGTAAACTCGGTAATGTCGTGACAAGATTTGTTCTTTGTTTTTGTTTTTATTTAAGAGGTTAACAACACAAAACTGTCATGAACAAAGTGCACATGATGAAAAAATCTTATCCTTTTTCAGGAACTATAAAGTGCACTTGGAGGACCGACAGTTATTTCGGTTTTACACAACGGTTGCATTTAACTATTACGTTCTTCAAACTCGAAGTAATGCGCATACGTCCATCTCACGAATGTACAGTCATCTTCTGCCATCTTTGTTAGCTTTTCCACTGGGAAGCGCGAACACTACGCAGAAATCATGTGTCGCGCCACTCCTGTAAAACCTGCTCTGATCCTCCTTCATAAATGTCTCGCGGTCTCGCAGTTTTATTTTTTTTGTTTGCTGAACATGTACCGAGTAAAATATTACAGAAAATTTATAGGTAATGCCTTACACTACGGCGTTACATCAAGAAGTAATACATTACTGTAATGCATTACTTTTGTAACGCGTTACTAACAACACTGGTTAGCATTAGGAAGTGTTCCTCACTCTCCTAAAGGTACGATGCAAACAGGAAAAAGTTCAGCAAAGCCAAAACAAAGCAGCTGCTTTTTTAGTAAAAGGTTTATGGAAATGAGTCTTCAACAGATGCTGAGAACAGAGACTAGTGCGACCAGAAAGCTGAAGATAATCTACACTTTTTTTTGTTTTCTTTTACAAAGGTATCCGTACCTTTACTTCTTTCCTTTTAATGAGGGGTCGCACCTTCGCAAAATCATACAGCTCGACATCTTCCTCCAACCAAACCTGCAGTGGAAAAAAGCACAAAGCAGAAAAATTTACCTGAGTTTCAGGAATCAGATGCATTTCCTGTAACCTTTCATAACATCAAACATCACTTTTATTTATTTTTTTTACAGCATACAGGGTATGAAAAAAAAAGATAAATTTTTTTAAGTTTTTACAGAAAAATAACTTTAAAAACAGCCATTTAATTTGACCCTTTACGACTGAAACATTGTTTGATGAGCAGGCCGACTCCTGTCTGCATAGCGTCTGTGGAGGGGGCGGGACGTCTGGAGCCGAGGTATTGCATTGCGCTCATTGCACTGATTTTCTGCAGTATTTTTTGATGCAAAGCCTTTCAGAATCTATAACGCAGGGGGATTATTATGCAACTTTTCTACTTCTGTCATTTGCTGTTTTAAAAAAAAAACAAAACACAAAACAATGTTACAGCTTTCAAATTTGAAACATTGTCTAGCCTGTAAGGTAAAAAAAAAAAAATAAATAAAAAAATATATAAAAGAAAAGAACCAATTAATCAAACCGAATCGATCGGGTCAGGAAATCGATACTGAATCGAATCGCCATGATGGATGTGATTTACACCCCTAATTCCATCTTTCAGCGACAAACGATCATTTTCTCATTCCCACGCTTTAACGAAAATTCAGCGGACCTGATTTTTGATGCCGTCATCTTCAGAGAGATCTGTGGTGTTGAGCTGGAATACCAGAAACTGAAAGATTCGGCCGTTGGTCCCCACTGCCTGTACCGTTATGGGATGTTCCAAGACACTCTGAGTCTGACGAGCATCGTGTAAAAGAGACAGAATGTTAAGGTTAATGTAAACACAGATGTTTTACTGGTGATAAATGAGCCTTTTTCTGCATGTTCTTACCCCGTACAGCTTGTGCGCTCGAGCCAAAGCATTTCCAAAGGTGAACATGATCATCTTGGCTCTGAACTGTTCTGGGCGGAGCTTAGAGTTAGAATCAGGCGTCTCCAGGAAGTAAAGTGTGTGGGCATGAGGGTAGGGATATCCCTCCCTAAAACCTGGGGGGGGAGAGAGACCGTTAAAATTAGACCGTACTAAACCAAAGCAGCAGAGCTCCATCGCTAGGAAGTGAAATTTGCTCCATTATTTTGTAAACAAAGAACACATTTTGTACATTTTGCAGATTTCTCAGATTTAGTTTTTCAAAACACAAACAATTACAAATTGATGTTTTATTGCTTTTAGCAATTGTTTTATGGATTTAGTTTTCATAAATGTTCAAATTGAGTTTTACGTATTACATTCTTCTTAAAATAGCATTTTTCAGATCACAATTTTCATTTCTGGGGGCAGCCTTTTCTCTGGAGCGAGGAGCAAAGACGCATCTTAGATCAGATTAGATTAGATGAGCTTTATTGATGTCAGAGCGGAGAAATTCACTGCTCACATATTGGCATAGTAATTAAAGAAGGTGCAAACAAGGAGGAAAAAGGTGCATTAAGACCAAATAACACTATAAAAAATAGAAAGAAGGAAAAGAAAAGTAGGAGCCGATGTGACCGGCTGCTGCCTGCGCAGCGCCATCTTGGATCCATCTCTATTAATCCGTAAATGCTAGCTGCTTCTGTTTCCTTGAACCCCAGTGGGCCT